ACTGCTCCCATCGGGACAGTGGTAAGAATCGTCGCTTGCGACCGACGAAATATTGATGATGGAGTACGTATGTTTGTCGCCCTCCAATCAGTGCAAAATAAAGAAACTGTACTTATTCACCTGCCTTTAAAATAGGAGTTACTATGTACCAGTAGATAGTATTTGCCAAGGAGAAATAGAGGACACTGCGTTCGGGCAACGGCACTGACTCATGACGAATCCCATTAGCGGGAGGAAAAAAGTAGATCTACGGCTACCGCGCAGAGTACGTGTGCAAACGCTTGACACCAAGGACAGACTACCATGGATAGGCCGACGGCAGGATAGAACAAAGCCCGCTTGCATGCTATCCTTATTCACGGCCAGTGATGGCCTACAATCACCCCCTCTAAATGACCAGAGTAAATCGATGCGCGGCCGCTAGTGAAGGCAATGACTCATATTCGCACGCGAAAATATAAGCGCACTTGTGGAGCCTGCTGTCGCGCTTGTGTTAGCAAAACGGGCGGTGGGCGCGTTCGTACGTAGAGGATGAGTCAGACTCAAGGTCGCCTAACTCACGCATCGGCAAATCGATGTGACAATGGCGCCGTCACTCTCACTGACCAATCACATGTCGGCATGGGAGTGGACGGCCACTAGCATGTGCGGCGACGTATACATTGTTTCTCTCTCTCTCTCTCCACAGCGCTCTGCTGCCTCGGCGTAAATGGGCCCGGCTGAGACTGCGTGCGCGAGAGAGTCATTGGACGTCCGTGGCGATACCTCCCATAAGAACATGGATATTCCGAGGACAGGAGTGAATACTGTAGGCTTTACATTTTTGTTTTGATCGACGAGAGTGATAGGAAATATGAGTGGCTGTGTTTGTTTGGTAGTTTGCACATTAAATCGCTTGATTTCTGTTTAACGAACCTCCCTCGACATTTCTTAAACGATTCTCGTATTCCGAGTTCGAATATACGCCGGAAAATTGTTTGTATACCAGACTGCCTCCAATGCTACTGACAAAGGCGAGTATGAAAGTATGGTTTTCAAAAATACTCCAAATTCACGGCTCTCGGCGTGCCTTCGTGGCTCAATTTGTAGAGCGTTGGCTGCACTAAAGCCTTCCCTGTTGATGTGGGTTCGAATCCCACCGAGGCCACGAATTTTTTCACAATGGGGTCGATTTAATACTCTAAATAGTTGAAAAAAGGCAATTGCAAAATACAGGATCTTTGTATTTTCCATTTCTTAATACTTAACACCTTGGTTCGACTAACTCCATACAGATGCTTATTAGGATACTGGGTCCTAAATCGGCAAATTTTTGTTTCGAAGGTCATGTTCATGCACAATTTTATTGGGTCTCTGGAATGTGGCAGTCGGTCGATTAACCAGTAAGAAAATAACATGAGTGTAGTCGGAGGCCCTGATTTCGTCATATGAAGCAAAAGAGACAAATCCCTCGTGTGAAGTATCGCATTGCTCAAATGGGACATACCAACACCAAAAAATGGGAGCAGTACATTGTCGAAATAGAACCGAGGTCTTCACATGGGTCGTTACTATGGGATTGCAAGACAAGACCGAAGTGTCAACAGAAGCACAACTTGTGATAGAATGAGAAGATTCATTCATTTAGAAAGGTGGTTTTTTAAATACTGGCATAGGAAACCGTCGTTCTTTTTCAAAAAAATAAACATGAGAACCCTGCGACAGAAGACAGTCTGAGTGCATTTTATAATCCAATCTAAATTTACAGCGATTGAACGTATTCACATCTAATTTACGATAAAGATTGCTAAATAAAGTTAAAACAGAAAATAAAATGCACACAAAAAATCACAGACAGACAGATATCTAACAACGCACCCTGGTGGCTGAGGTCAGAAGATCCAGCTGAATTACAATATATACACTGCTGTTACGACCAAACGCCTGTTTTTTTTCAGAATTCCTATTTACGGCAAGCGTACAAACGGCAATTATAATCCATCACCGCACCGAGATAATTCGGCGATGAAGCGTAGGAGCCAGTCAAGGTCCGCGTGCGGAGATGCAGGGCCAATCATCGCGTTTCCAGTGGCCAAAATAGACGACAGCGAGAGCGTGACGATCGACGTGAAGGTAAGCTGAAAATCGATAGGTTCGCCGCTTCATCCAATGAACAGACTGACTGGCCTGAAAACGTTCTGCCTAACTATCGATCTCGCATTCGATTGGTCTACTGCGAGAACGTCTCACCTACTCAGGCCAGGTACTCCAAGTCTTCCGCTCGTTCGCCCCTCACTCACTGTCGTACGTGCAGGCGCGCGCCTACGCGCTGATTCGAGGGCAATCGACATGTCGCGCGAGTTTTCCTTTGCCAAGTCAGGAGCGCCGCAAAGTCTCCGGAGTTTTGCCACATCTAGAAACGTGGACCCCATGCGTGGACCGAATCTTGATCAAATTAGGACGTAGGAGTATATCGCGGTCTCAGGAAGACTATGAGTCTCTATTTTTGTTTAATGGAATTGTTTGCATTAATGAAAACAAATGCAAAATGCATAAACAAGGGTGACTTAGTGCGTCTTGTATCCGATAGAAAAGGTAGCGGTCGACGAATTAATGCTTGAAGAGGAGCCGCCATAACGCGTCTGACTTCGCTGTAGTTAAATATGGGACTACGACCGAACCAAGTCTGAGTCAATGAGGTTGCCCCAGACTTAGTCGCTATTATATTCGTTTTAAATGCCTT